CAACTTGGCGAGACCTCATCTCTACAATAAATCAAAAAATTAGCTGGATGTGGTGGCACACTCCTGTAGTTCCACCTCCTTGGAAGGCTGAGGCGGAAGGATTGCCGGAGCCCAGCAGGTCGAGGCTGCGGTGGCCGGGAGTGGCCACTGCACTCCAGTCTGGGTGACAGAGTGAGACTCCAACTCAAAAAAAAAAAAAAAAAAAGGTTGGGAACAAACCTTGGCATTCTGGATCATAACTGGGGGCTTGTTTTTGCCCTTTGCTGGAGCAGAGACCAGAGCCGCTCGGCACACAGTGCAGCCCAGGGCTGGGCAGGGGGACCCAGGCAATTCGGGTGTGACCCCCGTCTCAGGGACTGTCCGTCTGGCCTGGGACTGTCCCTCAAAATCAGCTCTTCAAAGGCAGAGGCGCAGGCGACAGTGAGGGTCGGGACTGGCAGGGAGGGGCCAAGGAGCCCAAGTGGATGAGGGGCACGTGGCCAGGCAGTGAGAAGAGGTGGCCGGGGGCCGGGAGGGGGACCCCACGGGTGCAAAGGCTAGCCGCAGGAGCAGGCAAATATGTGGGACGAGGCCCCGGAGGGCCTTATGCACCGGGCCCAGGAGTTGGGCAGTGACAGGAGGGTTTGCAGCCGAGGGTAACAGCGCTGTCAGCATCTCCGAAAGGCCCCCCTGTTGGCCATGTGGGAACAGATAATAGAACGAGAGGTAGGAGGCTGGGGAGCCCAGGACAGAGGTGACCAGGCCTGAGCGGAGCATGACAGTGGCTGAGGGAGGCCCTGAGCCCCCCATCCACTCCCAGCCCCCATGCTCTCCGTCCAGGAGAGTCTGCTCTCCAAGACACACAGGGCCTGGGGCTGCCTTTGGCTTACATTACCTGTGTCTCTCCCAAGCGTCGTGTCCCCGAAGCCAGTGGTTGCCTAGAAATCTCGGGCATTCCCAGAAGCAAGGCTCCCTGGGGCTACAGAGCCAGGGACCCCGTCACTTTGATGGCTTTACCTTGTGTTCCGTTCCAAGGCTGGGGAGCAAGAGGCCTGACTGGTTGGGGGAGGGCCGGCTGTAAGAAAGGTGGGTTTTTCTCTTTTAATGAGTGTTTCTATCAGGCTCCCTCCCATAAGTGTGACCCTCTGGAGAGCACTCCCTGGGGACTACGCACCTTGCGTATGTGACCTGACGCCAGCCTCCCTGTGTCTCAGGAGAGGCATCCTTATCCCCATCTGGGGACCCGACACAGCGCTCAGAAGGAGAGTTCGTTCATTTACGTTTGCTCAGCAAGGCTGGACGCCGGGTCTGGAGCCTTGCGGCCTCCTCCGAGCCATTGGTTAGCAGACCCTGGTGGTCACGCTGACCCAGGATGTCCCGGCTACGGCCCTGTGTGTTTCTCCCCACAGGACACCCTAGAGAGGACGCTGGGGCGGGCGCACATGGCAAAAGGGATTGAGACCATGAGGCTGCAGATCCAGGAGGAGACCCGGTGCCGCCTGGCCGCCATTTCCCGCGGCCTGGAGCTGCTGGCTGTCGAGGGAAAGCTGTCCGGGCGGCAGAAGGAGGAGCTGCTGACGCAGCAGCACAAGGCCTTCTGGCAGGAGGCCGAGCGCTTCGGCAGGGGTGAGCCTGTGGGCGTGGGCACTGTGGTTCGTGGCACCGTCCTTCAGGGTCTCTGGGGCTCGGGCAGGGAACCGGGACTGGCACGGACAGCTGGCAGGAGACGCTGGGCACGGGCTGCCCTTGCGCTTCTGCCCCGGGGACTGGGCTGCCTGACTTCTCTGGGCCTTGCTTCCCTTCCCTGTCCAGCAGTCCATGGGGGCCTCGGTCCCCTGCTCTGTTTCCTCCTCTGGGGTTCGAGCAGGCCCTGAGCCCCGCAGCAAAGCCACCTGGAACAGGCAGGGGGCGGAAGAAGATGGAGGGTCTCACCCCAGAAAGTCACACAGACATGCCCAGAAGTGACCCTGTCGCCCAGCAGCAGTCCCTGGTCCTGCCAGGGTCACGAGACCTGCTCGGCGGCAGGGTGGCCAGGAAGGGGCGCGTGGCCTTCTGGAGCTGCCTCTGTGTGGCACACAAAGCTCCTGTCCAAGGTCGACCTTGGGACACCAGCAGGGCAGGGTTCAAGGCTTAGATGGGACTCAGCCAAGGGCAGACGGTTAGCAGGACTCACAAGGAGAAACCCAGGTCTGTCACCTGTAGGACGGGTCCCAGCTTCACAGCCAACACAAGCGTCCTGGCCCCTGGGCAGGAGGGCACCCGAGGGTTCCCGCTGAAAGCCTTGCTCAGAGAGTCGCCTCCTGTCCTTGGCTTCTTTCACCCCCAGAGTTTGTCCAGCGAGGCAAAGAATTGGTCCAGGCGTCTCTGGCCCACCAGGCGGAGGGTTCGGCAAAGCTCACGCTGGCCCAGGAAGAGGAACAGAGAAGTTTCCTGGCCGAGTCCCGGCTGAGCAGCAGCTCGGAGGAGTTCCTCAAGGTGACCACCCCCCCGTCCTCTGCCTGTGTGGGGTGACCTGGGCAGGGCTCAGTCCCCGCCACTGTGCGTGGAAAGCCAGAGGCGCCCTTCAGATAGGGGTCAATGAGTGACCACCACCCCGTCCCTTGGCCCCTGTGCCTCTGGTGTCCTGGTCTGTACGCAGGGCTTAGGGCCACACCACCCTCTCTGGGCTGCTGAGAAGAGGAGGTGGGAGAACCCCGGGGGGGAGCTCGGCACCGGCGCAGAGCGGGGGCTCCACAGCGGCAGCCCCTGTGGCGGCACCGCGGCAGTGCCGTGTGGGCTGCAGGGACAAGCATGTCCCCGAGAGTGAAACACAGGGACGGGCCCCTTGTGGGTCGGCTGCAGGTCCAGGAGCAGAGAGGAGCAGTCAGTCCTCGGCCTGCGTTTGGGGTTCCGTAGGTGCGGGGGGCCAGCCCCTGCAAGTTTTGGGGAGTCCCTTGGAAGATGTGGTGGCGTCGGCGAATCTGTAGGGATAGATATTAAAAGAAAGAA